ATTGCTTTTAACCACTATTATTCTCAAAGGACCATCTTAATTAAAATCTTGACATGAGCTTGCTCTTACTGCAACTATCAAAACTTTAGATTTATTAAATATACTAATAACAAAAGGTTTAACTTAGTGACACTTCATGTGTATTCAGTAGTTATCCACTAGGTGGGGCTGCAGGGTAGGTCGTGTTGCACTCTTGTACTGCATTAATTGAAATTGAAAGTTATTGTCACAGTAATCTGTACTACATTATATCAGCATTATACTGCCTTCACCTTCATCACATAATCTGCTAAGTGGCATTTGCAATATTGGGGTATGCTGGAACTCCACTTGATGTTTGTATATAGAAATTATTGCCAATGTTCCATTAAAAACCAAACTGTTCTGATATAGCTATTTTAATTAATCTGATTTATTGTCTTTATAAAATTGTACCACCACTACAGAATCACAATGGTATGATTGTTAAAATTATTAACTCCTAGGAGGAATTAGGTTAAAAATTTGACTGGAGTATTCCAGGGCTGCTGTTGTTACACCATATTGTTTTAAATTATTAGTGTTTTGCGTATATCTTAGATCTTTTAGCGTACCGTTTGACATTTGTTACCGTATATATAGTAGTGTATATCTTAGAACCTTATATACTGTTTCTTTTTACACTTTACATTTTTGCTATTGTTGGGTGCAACCAGGACCCTGAGTACCCGTACATGATTTTGTTCCACCTCTTGTACCACATGTGATGAGAATGATAATAAACTCAATTTGAACTTGAATGTCAGAAAAGTTGCTCCAGTTTCCTCTCTCACACAGTTTGACAACATATTGATTGGGTTAATTGTTTTTTTTTATTTATTTTAATGTGTGAGTGCCGACTGCTAGGATAAGCAACACACTGAGCACCCTTCAGCAGAATTAAGCAGATACAGATAATCAGTCTATAAGAAACGTTGATTGTATTCATTGATTTATTATTACAGTTTGATTAGTATATCATATATTATCAGTATATATATATATATATATATATATATATGGGAGTGGTGGCGCAGAGGTTAGAGAGGTGGGCTTGTGATCCGAAGATCGCCGGTTCACGCCCCGACAACATCAAAAAATTGTGGGTGGGGTAGGTGAAACACCCACACTTGCCCCCACCCTCATTCGCCCCACTCTGGGCCCATGAGCAAGGCCCTTAACCCCACCATGTGCTCCCTAAAAAAACAGGTCTCTCTTGAAAATGAGTTCTCGTGGCTCAATGAGACTAACCTGGATAAATAAAGGCTAAATAAAAATAAAAAAATAAATAAAAAAAATTATCAGTATATATATATATATATATATATATATATATATATATATATATA